CAACCTCCATCTCCTATTTGAACATTTGCAAAATGCATTAGAACTAGAATGCTATATTAACAGGGAGAAAACAAGGTATACGGCAGCCACCCATGCATATGAAAATGTCTCATCTTAAAAATTAGCATCAAACTTCTCCTTGCCAACTGGAATTAACCTAACTATTCTAGCAATTGCACCAATTAAAATTTGAAGTCCAGGCCCAACAAAGCTGATAGGATCCAATTGCCCTCTATATTGGAGGGACTTCAAAATTTATGAGCATGCAAACATTAGAAGGTTGAAAAGAATATCTGTGTATTGAAGTAGACTAAGATATTTCTAGGCCTATGATGGAAATTAATCTGTATATCTGCAAAATAGGTTACCAAGATGAACCTTTATAGTTGTAGGTTGATCAGCAGAAACACCACTATCCTTGAAGGAATATGAAGCGTTGCCTGGGCAATCAACATTGGAAAACCTCGGATTCTCTGTATTGTTTGCTGTGTACACGAAAGCAGAGTTTGCAGAAGTTGACGGAGCTGGGACAACATAATGCTCAAGATCAAGCTCCAAACTAGCTGGAGCGCCATTCTGTAAAAAAAATTGAAGGACAGTTTCATTAGTGTGCACAAGTTAATAAATTAAACAGTATAATGAAACTAACAATTCACCCAGTGAAAAATGATGGAAATCAACTGCAGCACAGAAGGCCACAATTGCAAATGAGTTTTAAAAAAGTCTCAATCTGACTTGGAAGAGTTCTTTGTTTTTGTTATGCTTTTGCTTTGCTTATAACAGCATCATAGAAGGGTGGAAAAGAAAACAAAAGAAACAATAATGCACCTAGTTAGAGAAATTTGAACTGGAGGACAACGATAACAAATTATCACAGCAAGCTCCAATACCAAGCTAAGCATCCAACTTGAAAGTTTAAGATAGTTGGTGGAGCAGCCCATATAGTAAATAAGGTCATAGCAAAGTTAATACTTAAATATGTGGTTAATCAATGGCCACTCTCTCACATGTAAACGAATAAGAAAACATAATTGATGAAAACGATAACAAATGGACTGAGCCCAAAAACTGGGCATATCCCATAGGTAGCCAATACTAGCAATCAAACAACAGCAATACCCAATTCTAATCAACAGTGGTTTCACGAGAACAATAGTGAATAGGCTACCATCCAAAAACAGCATAGTTGAGGAAACATGGTATACATTAAAAGCATCACATGTAAAACTTTAGCTCACAGTTCGAGGAGCCAATTAAATATATAGTTTACCGGTCTTTAATTAGCTATAAATTCATGATAACTCAAATGTTTGCAGCTCACGAACCATAACGCAGGTATAGATGATAGAGTATAAAGAAACATGGAACTAGCTAAAACCACCTCTTCTCACTCTTGGTCCCTGTAGAAATGAAATCTCATAGAAATGGAAACAACATGTCGTTATGCAACATATAACAACAGCAAAAGAAAATGAAAAAAAAAAAATTGTGAGCCGAAAATGCACCTCAATTCCTGCCATTGGTACAGAATTGATGCTGACATCAGGAATTCCACGGACAGTTGAAGGCTGTAGATTCTCCTGATAAACTCTCCAACTGGCCGCAAGATCAAAAGGTGAAACTCTATCAGCTTTAATAAACACCCTATACTCCACAGTCACATCGCCATTCTTGAATACCGCCCGCCTCGATTCCCCTTGCAATGTTCCCCCGGTAAGAAGCCGGTTTGGACCCTCCTCCACCACACAAGGGCTATTACTGTGCTTTGGCTTCAACAGGAACTTGAAATCCAAAGTTTCTAATATCCAACAAGCAATAAAACATTTTTTTTTTTAAAAAAAAGGCAATCAAGAATAAAATTTTAGAAAATCATTACTAAAATAAATAACCATGCCTTATGTTTACTGTTTGATTGGAATTTGAAAATAAATTTCCGAGTTCAAGAAAAATGAGGCAAATTATGCATTAAAAATGAATAAAGTAATCCTAAAAACTTTTCTTTCCACAAAATTTCTCTGCAACGAAACAAATTGCAGAAACGTACAAATAAACTGAATCACTTACCGTGATTAGCTGGAACAACAAAGCTTAATTCCCACATTGAAGCCGATTCAGGTTCCATGGAAAGCTAAATTAGAAACACAAACACAAGCAAATGAGAGGCTTGGAAACTAATTGCAACTGGATTTTTTCTTTTTGATAGTTAATTAGTATAATTACAGCTTTAGAAGAATCCCAGGAGCCCACAAGAGGCACGGAACCGTAGACGTGAGGGATGAGTTCGGCTTTAAGTCTATCATTCTCCATTTTAAGAGAAACATAAAGTTGACCTCCTGCGTGGTCTAGATTTTCTTCTCCTTCACTTCCGTCTGCGTCCTTTGACAAACCAGTGCCCATAGCTAGCTACTCTCGAGACTGTTGATTTTTGAGTGAGAGAGGGAGAGAGATGCTATTTATATAGGGTATGCCAAGCAAGTTGTCCTTCTTATTTGGGGTGTTAGTGGATTTTCTTTGGATAAGAGAGAATAAAGAAACGAAAGAGAGAGGGGGGGGTCTAGAGATTTGGCTGGGTCTTGAGCCGTTGGATTTGTTTTTCGACTGTACCGGAAAGGGACGAGAGCGAGAGAGAGTCGGTGCTCTGTTTGTTCGATTAATTATGTGGCTGGCCGATGGTGAGAATGGATGATATGCTTTAGGGCAACAACTTGCAGTTCAGAGGCGGGCAGTGTCTATTTCCTCTTTTCACTCACTCCCAGAATCTTAGGGGCTCTTCGGCTTAAGGCCCGTTGCAGGTGCTATCGGTTCTCAGACGGGGAGTGCCTGTTAGGTGAAGTTAGCTTCTTCTTTTTCCTAGCACGAAGTCAAATCCAGACATGTTTGGAAGCCCAGAATTTTTTCCTGAGAAAAAAAAAAAGCTCACGTTTCTTTTAACCAAATGCTATTTTTCGCCGCTTCGACATTTTATACAATCACATCTCAACTTTTAAGCAATCTGATTCTTTTGATAGTTGATACAGTGGTGACTGTAACAGTAATATATGTTGTTTTTTAAAATGTTTTTTAGAAATATATTAAAATATTTTTTTTTATGTTTTTTTTAAAAGTTATTTTTCATATTAATACATTAAAAAATAAAAATAAAAATTTAAAACAAAAAAACAAATATTAAAAACTCCGACTAAAATATAGGACAAACACTCCCTTATAGACTACTCCTAATATTAATGCTCGCGCTATGCCGCAGTTGGAATTCCAAGTTAATACTTAATATAGTAAGAAAAATTATGAATATATTTAATTTTTTTACTTGAAAAATACAAAAATATTATTTATATTTAATGAAATAAATTAAAAGAATTATATGGATTGAAACCATGAAAAAGTCATTGATGCTAATTAAGTACCTATAAAAAAATAATATATTTTTTTTAAAGAACAGTTGAGTATAGAAATATTTAACCCTAATTTTTCCTTTTAATTTTTTTTTTATAATTAGGGTATTTTTTTCTTATCAATAATTTTTTTATTTTTTTATAAGCAAATCATGCAAATAAAATTTATCTATATCATATATAAAAGATGAAAATTAAAAATAAATTATTACAATCTATTTGAAACATTATAAAAATACTAGATAATTAAAAGAATAACTAATAATTGAAAAAACAAACTAGAAAGTTAAGAAAAATAAACTGAGAGAGGTTATTAATTTAAATTTAAATTTAAACAAAAAATTAATAAACCAATAAACTTAGAGAGGATTGTTGATGTTCTTTAAAAGTTAAAAATAAAAGGCAAGTACTTCTTCTAAATGCAAAAAACATACGAATACGAAAATATTTAAGCTTGACTTCTTTTTTTTAATCTATTGATTTTTAATTTTTTTATCTTAGAAATTATTATTTTTTATTAAGAACAATTGATAGAAGTCATGTCTTTTTTCTTTTTTTAAAAAAAGAATTACAACAATCAAACATGACCTCAATTTTTCCAAAGGATCCGTTTCCCAAACCCGATTCCTTTTACCCAAACCAGATAGAGTTTAGGTCTCTGTACAGGAACACTGAGAAGTGCCAAGCCCCTTCGTATATTCACAACTTTGCGCTATTTTGGGCCTTGAAGAAGCAAAAGGGTTTCTCACCTAGTCACCTGCTCCATTTGTTACAATAAGAGACTAGGTAATCTAATCTCTCCTCTGTAGCAAAACTAAACCATCAAAAGTCTTCAAACGCTGTTTAGTTAGAAGTCTTTTTCTCGGACAAAAAGTCAAATCTATGTCTGGTAGTAAAAAATATAATGTAGGACTGTGAGTCTCATACCAAACAACCCAGAAGCAGTTCCATTTTGAGTGGTTCTTTTAACCAAACGTTTGTTTTTTAGTCCACCATGACATCTACAGTTATAATCTAGTTTCTAAAGAAGATAGTGACATTTACAGTTTTATATATATATATATATATATATTATTGATTTTATTAAAATGACGTGCATGTATATATTATCATCCCATTTAAACTTAGTTTTTTTTTTTTTTTTTTTTTTTTTTTTTTTTTAGTTTTTTGAACTTAAGCTTACTCTCCTAAAAAAGTGCACACGTGTCATACAAGTTTAATCAATTATAAATTATTTGATAAAAATAAGATATATTTTAATAAATACTTTTAGTGTACTATAACTCTTATTAATCGTTCATTTTAGATCTCAAGAACAAAATAATATAATTTAACCAAACACTGTTATTTTGTTGCTAGCCCTATATCAAATAATACTTTTATCCTATGATTCGACGTTGAACAACGCAATGCAATACTACAGCACAACATAACAATAACAAGCAGACACGTGTTACCCCAACTTGAGGGGAGCCAAAAATCCCTATCTTGCTATGAGAATTAGAACAGCCAAACAATGCCTCCAATTTTTACACTGGATCCGTTTTTGAGACCCGGTTACTTTGACCCAAACAAAATAGAGTTAGGGTTTGTGTATAAACACTCTGATTTGACCCAAACAAAATAGAGTTAGGGTTAGGGTTTGTGTATAAACACTCTAAGAAGTGGCAATCCCCCTCGCGTCTTTACAATTTGCAGTTGTCTATTCTAGACCTTGAAGAATCAAAAAGGGTTTTTCACTCGCGCCATCTGTTACAATGAGAGCCAAGGTAATCTAGTCTCTCCTTTCTAGCAAACCCAAATCATAAAAAGCTGTTTAATTGGAAGATTCGAGAGTCATTAATTGGTATATCTGTTTTTGCAGTGGAAGAAGAAGCGAATGAGGAGGTTGAAGAGAAAACGCCGAAAAATGAGGCAAAGATCCAAGTAGTTGCAGTTTTAGCTCAACCTTACAAACCCTTAATTAATCCTCGCTGTTATTTCCTTTCTGAACCATGGATTATATGTTTTTAATCACTTGATGTGCGGAAATTAGTGGGTTTTTCATTAGTATTGGGAATGCTACTTTTTTTAAAAACCCTGATGTCTCTTGTCCTGCTTTGATTCTAAAATTCTATTCCTAAGTCGCCAATTGTTGCAAAGTACTGTTGTTTGCTCAAATTTTACTGAGTTTTAAATTTTACTGCAATCGGAGATGTTTAGTTGATAGGTGATTTTCAGGTCTTTATAAGATCGGGTGTCTGTCACTAGTAATTCCTTCCCCTTTTGATTTTATAGAAATTGGGATTTGTTAGGTTTGCCTTTTTTTTCAATTTGCAGTGTAGGTTAGGCGACTTCCTTGGTTTGCTGATATGCTTTATAAGTTCTCCCTGGGAAGTTATGTTAGGTGCCACTTTAAATTTTCAGGTCAAGTTTAACTCTTTCCTCTTTTATTTTACTATCAATCATTGATTGTACATGAAGCTCATTTACCCTTGAAATCATGGTAGAATCCCATTTTCTTGCTGTAGTGTACATTGTCAGGTCTCACCGACATCTACCTGAGTTATAACACCACTTCTAACTGCCCATGTGTTGAACTTTCTTTTTCATTCTCCATTTTACATGTGCAAGCCCCAGAGTAGGATGCTGGAACTATTAGGCAAGATATTTGCTTCAGGTTTTATTCTTAAAGTAGTTTAGTAGGCCTCTGTTGTCATCATGATACTGCATGTCTAGGTGATCAATTTTATATGCTTTGATTATACTAATAATATATGGAGTTAAACGTGATGAATAACTCAGATGGTGAAGTTATGTCCTGTGGTAGTTGAGGAGAGTGTTGGAATATCATTATTATGGTGGAGACCGGATAACATACCAGGTCTGGGAGGATACTTGAAATCTTTGAGAAAATGGATTCTTGAGTATTGGAAAGGAACACTTCAACTAAAGATGCGGTCACAAGGATGTAGACAACTTGAAATTTGTACAATTCTCACTTCTGTCTCGACATTAAAAGAAAAGGTAACCTGACTAGGAGCTTCAGCATGTTAACATAACTCGTGTTATTGCTTTGCTTTTCTTTGAGTTAGCTCTACTTTTTTAGAGGCCGAGAGCCATCTTCAGTTCCGAATTCCAGTTCCCTACAGCCAAGGGAACTTTGTCTTTTTTTACTCCATCACAGGAGCTTGATAGGATTTTCATTTGTGAGCAATATCAATGCTCGAATACCAAATTAGGGGGTTTTGTGCTCAGTATTTATCTAGTCATCTGTTGTGCTGGTACTTTGACTTATTGTTCAAAAAGGTTTCCACGACGAATAGCTTTTTGGGCCAGACGTTGCCTTGCAACCTTTAGTTTCATAGTTTTTATAATCACAGGACAATTAGATGGTAAATTATCGTCTTCCAAGTCAGTGGGTGGCTAGGCAAGACAAACGAGAAACATTCACGAGTTTACTTCATAATTGAAAGAAAAAAAAAAAAACTCTTAATACGACCAAATACGAATCGAAGATTTAACTATTGATCGCGCCGAACAATTATGAAACATGGGCAGGATGTATTGACATTGCTTTATCATAAAACAGAGGTTTGGTCCTATTTCTCCTGTCTTTTTATTTCACTAATTTCTCGCCTCCTGAACTATTGATATGAAACATAAATCTCATATAAACTCAGGAACTGAATCCCATTTAATTTTATTTCTTGATATAAATGAGGCAGCCTTGCTAATTGAAAATTCTGCAACAGGCTTTTTATTCTAATTTCTAGTTTGTAGAGGTCGTTTACTGAGGATTTGGTGGGCGGCCATTGGCTGCTACGACCCTTGCACCCCATTCTAGGAGCTCTTTGCTGGAATCTATCACCTCAATGAAGCATAGACAATTTCTCGTCGCTCCTGTTGCTGTTTCAATTGCCTCAATAAGCTCCTCCTCACACTTGAACTAACACTGAAGTACAATTCTCAATTTCACTAAAGTAGCCCATTCTGCAATTAGGAGTTCAAACCCTGACCTTTTTTGTCTAGCAATTGCCATCCCCATTGTGGATTGCATCAACTAAACCTGTGTAGTTCCAGTTCATGATACGATTGTACGGCCTATCATGGATTTCAACTTCTAGGGTGTATCCACCATTGTTTATAATGAATATGGGACTCTTTTGTCCACACCGCAGCATGGTCGACACGGCTTGTGCTGTCATCTGCAAATCGGATCGCTATCAGCTGTACGGCTAGTAACCTAATAAAGTAATTCTTCAAAGGGATTACATTTACAGATAGGGCAATATCCATTTGCATGCCAGTTATTGATGGATTGAGTGACGACAGTATTAAGTGCTCACCTGAAAGCTCCCATCTATTATAAATATTAATATAAATTATATTTTAAAATCTCACTTAAAAATTTAAGTTTTTAAATTAAAATAATTATTTCGTATAATATCAAAATTTTAATAGCGAAGCGATATGACAAGTACTGTGCATAGCCAGGTGTTGTATTTACAGACCATCCTATTGAACCATATTGAATCTGAAATTCATACCCACAACACCAAGTTTTATACCTTTTTTAGGTCTCGGAAAAGTCGAAATTAAGATAACTGACATTTGGCCTTTTGATCCTATACAGTACACACGTCCTTCAGGTAACTTGAGTTTCTGGCAATGAAACCAGGAGTCAGCTGTCTCAGCAATCACAGCTGTGCTCCCTGAGACATTTTCTGTATGTGTTGAAAGAGAATATAATTTGACTTGCGTTTGAGAGGATGCCCAGTGCCCCTCCTGTAGTTTTTATATGCAGTTGTATTCCTGTGAAGCCTTTTGGCAAGTGCAGGAAGAGAGTCCTTCATTAGTACAGACCCGAAAGCAGGTCCATGAGCAACTACAACACGATCAGGCTGCACAATGATTGCATTCTGTCTGGAGGAGGAGTGCGTATCCAACGGAGCTGTAGTCATTGATGATTGTATTTTAAATATATTTTGTTTAGAAATATATTGAAATAATATATTTTTTTAATTTTTAAAAATTAATTTTAGAAAAATTAATCTGAAGTAAAGAAAAAAGATAAAAATTTTAATATTTTTTTTAAAATTTTAAAACACAAAAATAATAAGGTTAGTAATGGCAAAAAGATTTCGGTTGCTGTGGTCCTTGACTTGCTGGTCCTTTTGATTTCAGGGCTGTCCAATTAGGGGTTTTCTGCCTTTTGGATAGACGATTCATTCTTTTTTTTTTTTTTTTTTTTTTTTTTTTAAAAAGAAGTTATTAAAATAATTTCAGAGACAAAAATAATTTTTTTTTTTTTAGATTAACGTGGGTGTCCGGGCCAGCTTGCGCGCACCACGACTAATCCCACGGGCCCTGAAGTTAACGACCATGTAAGCCTCAGTGGCCATCATATGAGCAATCAAGGACTCGAACCTGAGACCACAGAGGGAGCAAACCCCTTGATCTCAAGTTCTTATCACTTGGCCACCACCTAGATGGTTATAGAAGATTCATTCTTAATTGCTCCTGTCGTGTCTAGCATAGCAAAACTGCACTGTATCTCTCCGTTTTTTGTTTTATGTGATAAACACTGTTGAGTGATTGACATGGTGTGAACGTGATACGATCTTTCTATCCTTTAAAAGGTTTTGGAATGAATTCATGTGCTATTTGCTGCTAGCATCTAAATAAATAAGATATATAGAACGTAAAATTAACCCAAGGATTTAGGACGTCAGGAAGGCACTGCTATTGGGCGAAATCCGACAGATTTACTGAATGTTTTCCCATGCATTCAGTGAACCATCATTACCGAACTGCAGAATACAGAATATGTTTTCAGAAATTCAGTGAAAAAACTTCCAAAAAACAGACTGTAATGCCTTCTTCCCCTTCAGGTAATCAAGAATTTGCCCAAGTTACTTGGACAGATAAATTCACAGGATTTAGTCCGAATTTATATTATACATTCATTGCCATCCATGACTTCTTACCCTTTTGTTTTGATTGCTGCATTGAAAGCCTGAGATGATCAAGGTGCTTGGTATCATTGTTCTCAAAGCCAGCGATTAGTATGTCTTTACCCATAAGAGAGGATCTTAGAACTTGAATTCATAATTTATGAAACTCTCCCATTCTATGGAATTGAATATACTTTACTCTCTATTGTTTGAGCCTACCCATGCCAATCTTCTTTAACTCTTGAAATGCATGCATGGTCTCAGCATCAAAACCACCTGCGAACTGGATGTTTTGACATAAAGGTTAGTAAGACAGGTAAGATCTCAAAAATGATAGTAAGGCAGGTAAAATCTCAAAAATGAGCTTGAGGGAATTCAATGTTTACCTGGTGTACACGATAGGCAAATCTAGCTCCTTGAAGCAGAAGATTTTCTTCTCCTGAGCATTCATTAAGCTGCAGCTCTTTAGTTATCCTTTTCAAGTAATCCTTGGCTAGCCTCAAAGAACTTAATTTCATCTGTTAACAATATCGAGACTGTTAGTTGGAGCTGTTTCTCTTATTTCTTATTGGGAGTCCATTTTAAAGTTGTTTCCTGGGTTATATTTGTGTAAAAATGTTGGCAGATATAGGAAACCCTTCTTTGGAGTTCCTTCAAGATGACTCCATTACGAGATGCAATATGCAGAATCTAGAAAATGCTGTGGGGGGCATCAAATTATCTGCATAAAATTTTTCGAGGGGCCACCAAATTTTTCTATCACTCGAAATTTCACTTAGGAGAAACCATTTTTCTATTCCTCTACTTCGATTCTAGAGAGTGAAGGAGGCTAGACCATCATGTTTATCCTGCTTTTTTGCAGAGACTCTTTTCTGGTGTTATTCATATTACCAAATGACGCACTTCAATCCCTTTAAATGGGAAGAAGCAGTTTCCTTTATAAAACACGTGAACTTCAGTTTATTTCTATAAATGTCAAAAGTTTTGGCCTGTCAAGTTGTTGTTCTAATTTTCTATTAATCGATGATAATTTTGTTGGCAAGGTATTGTCATGAGTTGAAATATCATGCTTCGAGGTGAAAACCAGCTACATGATACCTGATCAGGCTTCAAGGTAAAAATAAGCTACATGCTACCTACCTGACCGATCAACCCTGTGTTCAGCAACCATTCCCATGGGATCTGATGATCCCTGTATCTCTTGA